GATAGGATTTCATGGTACCTAAATAAGATCGTGAGCCAGCTGCTAACGAAGGTACCAGCACACTTATGCAATGCACGCGAGTTCGTCGAACAGCTTCGCAACGCTAAGTTTGATTCGAGCACGGTAATTGAGTCGTTTGATGTAACGTCTCTTTACACTAATGTGCAGAATGACCAAGCTTTGCAAGCGTTATCGGAAATGTTGGATAGGCATGCTGATATAATAAACATGTTTGGACTTAGCAAAGCGCATACGATGGCCCTAGTGAAAGAATGTCTAAAATGCACCATTTTCAGATGGTCGGGGACATATTACTCCCAGATACGTGGATTAGCTATGGGCCAAAGGCTAGCACCAATTCTCGCCATATGCTTTATGAGCAGAATTGAAGAGCCAGTCTTAGCACGTATGCCACTGATGTGCTGTCGTTACATCGATGATTGCTGTGTTGCAACTTCAACACAGTCCGAGATGGACGAGTGTTTCAGGATTCTTAACCAGCAATCACAGTACATCAAGCTCACACGTGAGATACCTCGCGATGGATGGCTGCGTTATCTCAACGCTCAAGTAAAGGTGACCGCTGGCATTGTAAGAATCAAATGGTATCGCAAGGAAAGCTCCGAAAATATCCTCATCAATGTAAAATCTGCACATCCTGCTTCTGTGAAGCGTGCTGTCATTGGTAATATGTTTAAAACCGCGATGCAGATGTGCAACGGAGAGGAGGAGCGATGCGATTTACGCAGACTGGCTACCCAAATAGCTTGCAGTAACGGTTACCATTCTTCATCGCACGTTCACCATCGAAGAAATGGCAACAACATTCGGGCTGATAACAAACTTCCACTTTGCTTGCCATTCATTTCTGATAAGATCAGCGCGGCTATACAGAAGTGCATCGTTCGTGCGCAGCTGCAAGATGATATTATGTTAGTGAACATTCCCAACGATAATGTCAAGAAACAGCTCGTTCGTAACAGGCTCTACGATCAATACTGCAATACGGAGCAATGCGTGATATGCCCGCACGACAGAATGGGTGACTGTGCGAAGATGGGAGCGGTGTATCAGCTTGAATGTATGAAATGTAATGCACGCTATATTGGGGAAACAGGAAGAACACTTGGCATTCGCATCAAAGAGCATTTGTCAGATAGAAGGCGCAAGAACTTGGCTTCGCCGCTTGACAGACACAGGCACGAATCGCATGGTGGAGATGACTTTGATATCAAAGTTACAATTCTAGCACTTGAAAAAGAGATCTCGGCTAGGAAAGCCTTGGAATCGTTCTGGATTTCTGCAAAGAATCCAGAAATGAACAACAAAAACGAGTGCTTATCCATAACCGCTGAATTTCTTCCGTTTTTATCATTATGCGAGCTATAACTGTTTATGTGACATCCCTCAGTATAGCTCAGTCGTCCGTCGCGAACATCTACATCCGGTACGGACATCTAACGAAGCGGTGGTTCCCTGGTATGTCTTTTGTCATTACAATTTTTGTAGCACTAGATTGGGGAAGAGCCGAGAACTGGCAGGGGCTGGTGGAGACGTTTGATGGGCTGGAGTTACGGATGAAGCTTTGAACCATTCTAGGCCTCTGATGAAGACGAAAGCGTCGAAACGTAAGGCCGAAGAGTATTGACAATAAAAGGACCACCTAAAACCCTGTTCGGCACAACAATATTCGACACTTACGAACATGCCCAGGTTTAATGACTACGGAACATGGAAATTACTTGAGGCGTTTATCTACTGGAATTTCTCCAATTCTTCTCCGCCCACTTTGAAAACTTGGTACTAATGAGCGTAATCGATTTGTGGACTAAATGCGTGTTGGAGAGTCATAAGAATGGAGCATTGACGACTTTTGCAACCATAATTCGCAATGTATAATAAAGTTGAAGGCAGCGTCCAGACGCCAGTCCCTAGTATCGTATTTCAGCGGATGACTTGCACCGCTTGCAGGGTTTTGCGAGTAAACCAACCACAAAGGCAGTGGGTCCACTCGCAAAGCCTGCGAGCCAATGCAAGTCGTCCACCAAATGCGGTAGCGTGTTCTGGTTCGGATAGAATATCTCAGCCGCGAGCGCACCATATAGCTGAGCATAAAGGATGTTCGTCGAGAACTGCCCCGACTAGTGTAATCACACCATTGGGCGTGTGCGTCTTTGGATCCTTTCCAGCTCTACAGTACGCTGCAGCGCGCGGGGAACTTGCAGCTCGCAGCATTCCTGTCCTACAACCTTCTTTGTTATATAAGCGTTTCTCATTTCTTTTTCTTCGTGAAAGTCGTTTCAGGCACCTATTCCTCTTTTATTTCAGGCTTGTTCGACCGTTGAATGTATCCTACAAGTTCTAGAGTATGTGTCCGTGGCAGCTATCCATGGGTGTCTCTGCCACACACGCAAAGCCGCTCGGATTGCCCTCGCAAGCTCGAACATTTGATCAACGAGATTTTTCTACATTCTTTTTTGCTATTCTTATCCTTTTCTCATAGGATACGTTCTCTTAATCTTAATATGGCCAGTGCTAACTTACCGGTTTCGTTCTATGTTATTGTGCTGTTTTGAATCTTTTAAGTCTGGTCAAGTGAATGCGAGCCCGATTTTGTGGAATATTCTTAGATCAAATTACGTTGGATGGAAATGTCGGGTTGCATTCACCTGACCAGAATGGAATTCGACAAACTTATCACCAAAAGATCGGCCATAGGTTGCCGCGAACTATTGCCAGGTTTGCGATTGTTGACGGCAAGGGCAGGATGCCAGTGGCAAGGCATTGGCAGAAAAACACACACAATCATAATCACAATCATAATCACAACAAATGCATTTCCTCATGAAATCTGGAGGTGTCAGCAAACGCTAACGGCACGCGAGTTCGTCAACACCGCAAACCGCACAGTTGGCAACCTGCAGCCGATGGTCCATGTAGGTCATGCTTAGATAGCGCCACCTTTGGAACCCTGCACTCCAGGAATGATATCCACGAAAGTCCCCGCGAAATGGGCTTTTCGTGCGAATAAAATGGACTTAGTCCATGCGGTGCGATAAGATATCGCATTCGCGAGTACATTCATTCCATACAAAAATGCTTCAACTAACCTTTCTCCAACTTGTCTCAACCTGTTTGCTCACTCTTGCAAACTCATTTCCCCCAAGTGGTCGATATCTGACTAAAGTGTCCTAATATTACAATGTCAGTCTTGTGGATTTTCTATTCTTTCCCACTTCGTTACACCTCACAGAATGCCATTCATTATCGATAACTATGCATCTAAATCACTTCCAAGACTAAAATTCATGTAATATCCGGGTCTTCGCTTCAAAACTTCTACGAATCAGCATTAAATCGAATTCGTATGTGGAGATTTCTGCAAAAAGCAAACTTTGGCTGGAGTTGCACTGCAATCTGTGAACCAAAATGCTCCTTACAAAAAACCTTGTACTACACTACAACTTCAAAGGGTTTTTCAAGTCGCAAAAACTTTGAATCCCAAAAGATGACTTCGCAAGTGCTCTATATTAGCTTTTCTTTGTCTTTCAGCACTAATATTTATAACTCTAAGCAGTTGAATGTATGGACTAATCTAGTAAAAAGTTTTTCACAGAATTTCTCTAGCTAGCTAGCGGCTTCAGTAATTCTTGTGGAACCAAACTCAAAATTGCGTTAAAAATGCCGTCTCTGAGGTTCGGTTCTAAGAAATTAGCCAAAGATAGCTTCTAAGTAATTACATTTAAGTACTTTTTTCAAATTTTAGATTACAAATCTTGAATTTGGTTTTGGTTGATGATTTGAAGAGTTAACAAACTTTATTTGATTTACATAAGAATTTTCTGATTGACCTGATATTAAGAAGCATTTGGGTTTGTTGGCGAATATTTGGGTGAATTTAATCTTCTTCTATGTTTTTATAGCGTTTCCATGAGTTTAGAAAGAAACACTTATTTCAAACTTCATTAAAGACATGAAACTTTTTTCACTCACCTATTACCTTTGGATAGGTTGAGGTTCCCAAAAACATATTCCCAAAAAATCGCAATCAAAAATATGCAAAAATGTCAAAAATGGGCTTAGTCCCAGCTCACCCTGCTGCTGGGAGTAAAATGGGCTTTCAGGTCCATTTAGAATGGGGGTAAATCCCATTTTGCCCCATTCTAAATGGACTTTTGACGTCATCATTCGCAAGCGAGAGCTCAAGTAGGGTTAAATCATTTTCATTTCACCGCTTTGCCTCGTGGTTGTGATGGGATGAAAATTTTTGGATAACGCGAGCGAAAGTAGATTTCGACCACTCTTCACCGCGAACGAATAAAATGGGGCTTGAAAGTCCATTTTCCTCCATTATGGACTTTCGTGGATATCATTCCAGAAAAATGAGAAAAACCAGAAAACGAAGCTTCCATTCTAAGCTTTTCGGGAAGAGCTTAACAGTAGCTCAATCACAGCGTTGCCTGGTACACACATACAGGATTTGTAGGATATTCGATGTTCAAGTCCGTCTGAAATGAAAATCAAAGAAAAAGTGATTAAAAGGGCATAAATAGCAAAGAAGATTATAGGACAGGAATGCTGCGAGCTTCAAATTCCCCGCGCGCTGCAGCGTACTGTAGAGCTGGAAAGGCTCCATAAACGCACACGCGCGATGGTGTAATTACACGAGTCGGGGCAGTCGTCAACGAATATCCTTTATCTTAGTAGGTTCGCCGAATCAGTTTCCATTGTCAGATTTGTCTGGATCTTGCGTCTAAAGGATTGATAATTGAACTAGGTAAAAGCCGTCACCGTTTGCTCAAGTAAAGTATACTTCAACGGCTTTGGTAGATGCAAGCGATACGGAATTTAGGTCCGATCGTGGTAAGCGTTTCGCTGTAACGGCCAAACACTTCCATCGACTATTCTAACAACAAGTTCGTTCCATATAAGCGATGACCAGTCGATATTAATGCGAGTGAGCCTCTTTTGCATAAAATCTGGATACTCAATATACGTACGACGGCAAATCTTCGTCCATTGTGTTGGGGTAACTCCTGCTTGAGCTCACCACAGCGCACGTTCAGTAGAGAATGAACGTACCCGTCGACATGAAAGTGTCCTTAACGACATGTGGAGAGATCTGCATGAACATGTTGATTTGGAAAAGATGTACAAGAAATTTTTTCTATTCAAGCTATGCCATACATTGTCGTTGTCACCGTTGTTATCTTCTGCTGTTACCGTTGCTGTTAGAATCAACCGCACAGATCGCCCATATCGCCGCTGGCTAAATGGCCGCGAGCTGTCTAGCGCGCGGCCGTCGAGTAACGGAGATGACAAGGGAATGGCCAAAAGTCGAAGCCGATAACCATTATAAGCTGCATAAGTTTAGATGCAGCTCAAAGGCAGCGTCCACCCAAAATTTCGCCTCCCATGTTCAAATGTTACCGGGCTTTTCATGGCCCTGATTAGAGCCATGGAGAGCAAATTATCAAAAATTGCCCCTTTCTGAAACCGTATCTTGGCAGACGTGGACGAGTTCCTTTGCGCAAGCCACGTTGTAGCAACAAGAAACCCGTCGTGTGCAACAGTGCCACATAACAAACTATGCGTCTCAACGTTGCTTATCATGTCAGAACAAATATCGTCGTCTCCCCGGTGTACGTTGGGCGGAGCATTTGCGGACATTTGAACACGTTCATGACTTGTTAAACCTCTATTGCAAAGCATGGTTCTTTGTCCTCTCTAAACTGCCACGTATATATGAGGTTGTCATACGTGGCAGAGTTGGTAGCGAGAGATCACAAAAAACAATGCCTCGCAGTAGAGGGTTAACAAGTTCACCAACATGTTCAGATGTCTGCAAAAGCTCCGCCCAACGTACACCGGGGAAACGACGATAGCATTAGGTCCATTATATCCTTCTCAAACAAATCATGGGAACCTCCCGAGGACAAGCTAATTTGCAAAACTTTCTGAGAGCTTGATTTAATACCAAACTGAAAGAAAGGGAGAAAAATGGGAACGTCGCGAGGAGAATGACGTCAACAACAATAAAGTTAGAAACTTCCCGAGAAAATCATCGGAAACTTCTTTTAATGCAGTGCTTCCCGAGGCCTCAAATATGAGGGAACCTTCCCAAAGCTGTTCTTCTGCTCCCCCTCTTTTTGATAAGTGGAGAGCATGCCCAGCCTTCACCTCTGAGGAAGAAAAACTTAGATGGTTGAAAACATTGTTCATGGACATCTCAGGCAATGTTTTACGTATAGTTGCAGTGTGTGTTTGTCTGAATGAGGGAGCTACAAATCTCAATCATCCCTAACTCTACCTTGACATTTCTTCTACAAACTTTGTACATGATTGCTTTCAGATGCGCGACTTCAGGGCTTCAGCTGTTGTCTCGGAATTACCTTATCAAGAGGGTTTACACACAGGGCCCGGCACAGATTGTTTGGAAGCTAGTTTGACTTCTTTTTGAGGCAAAAAGCAAACGAGCTATCGTTTTTTGCGGAGTCGGGTGCGCAACCAAGAGCGCCATTTAGTCGAGCATCGGACAGATGATCGCACAATTTACATGCCCTATCGCGTATGGGGAAAAGTGTGCGCAGTTTAAAAGTCAAGCTAAAATAAACAAATTGCTTGTTTACAGCACACAGAATCATTTGACACCAAAATTGAACCGTATACATATAAAATCATTTGTGGGAAAATTATGTGAAGAGATAAAACTTATGTGTAAAATACCTTCTCTAAAATTGATCCTTCTAGACACCCATCAGACGATAGATGTCTGGAGCATATATTTCTGTCACTTCACATAAGTTTCGAATTTTTTTTGCATGGATGGATGCCCCGGTCAAGTAAGAATCAATCTACGGGCATAAGGACAATTTTATATCGCCTCCTGTCCGCCGTTTACCTATCTTTTTTTCGAGTATTACCTTGTTAGATGCCGCGCTCCAGCGTCAACTATTCTGCATCCTCTCCCTTTGAATTTTCATTTACAGTTCCAGCTTTGTTTTTAACATTTTGATAATTTCTTTCATTATTCTTTTTTATTTTTCTTTTTTCTTCTGCTCGTGATCTATCTTGTTGTGTCCTCTGACCATTGTGAGTTCTCGAGCGAGTGTTTTCTGGCATCTTTGCTTATTCTTGACTTTTAGGTAAGTCGTTGCTGGTGAAGGAGAAAAAGGTAAGTTAAGAAGTAGTTTTTGTTTTTTGAATAATTGTACCATCGCTTATTCCCATATTTCATGTGAAAGCTACGTCGGGTCAGTATCATGTGTATTTCTTGCCACTTCATCTCAGACAATCACAGGCTCCCAGCCGGCAGCCACAAAGCCACCGCGAAAACCCACCAAAAGCGCGGTGGCTTTGTGGTGGCTGCCGGCTGAGAGCCTGTGATTGTCTGAGATGCTTCTTCTTGAAAAGCATTTCTTTGAGCGCTGGTAGGCCTCTGCAGCGACTTCGGCTTTTACCTAGAAAGAAATACCATTCAACCCAGCAGGCCATGTTAAAGACGATAGATCAAACGTGAAAGACTATTAGCGTCAAAAAAAATGCTTCTCAAGGAGAAATCGGAGGGGGGGGGGGGGAGGTAGAGCAAGAGTCAAGGGGGACTTCGTAAAATTTTCGAAAGGCAGGAGGGACTTCGTTTGTAAAATAAAATAAAGGCCCCGCTTACGTAGAAGAAAAAAGTTGCTGAAAGCCATCTTTTCAGCGTTCGAGTATGGGCAAACTCCAGGAATGTTGTTTAAGTGTGTGTGTGTGTGTGTTGTGTGTGTGTTGTGTGTGTTGTGTGTGTTGTGTGTGTTGTGTGTGTGTTGTGTGTGTGTATGTGTGTGTGTGTGTTGTGTGTGTTGTGTGTGTTGTGTGTGTGTTGTGTGTGTGTTGTGTGTGTTGTGTGTGTGTATGTGTGTGTGTGTTGTGTGTGTGTTGTGTGTGTTGTGTGTGTGTTGTGTGTGTTGTGTGTGTGTTGTGTGTGTGTTGTGTGTGTTGTGTGTGTGTTGTGTGTGTGTTGTGTGTGTGTTGTGTGTGTGTTGTGTGTGTTGTGTGTGTTGTGTGTGTTGTGTGTGTGTTGTGTGTGTTGTGTGTGTGTTGTGTGTGTTGTGTGTGTGTTGTGTGTGTGTTGTGTGTGTGTTGTGTGTGTGTTGTGTGTGTTGTGTGTGTGTTGTGTGTGTGTTGTGTGTGTTGTGTGTGTTGTGTGTGTTGTGTGTGTTGTGTGTGTGTTGTGTGTGTGTTGTGTGTGTGTTGTGTGTGTGTTGTGTGTGTTGTGTGTGTGTTGTGTGTGTGTTGTGTGTGTTGTGTGTGTGTTGTGTGTGGTTGTGTGTGTGTTGTGTGTGTGTTGTGCGTGTGTTGTGTGTGTTGTGTGTGTTGTGTGTGTTGTGTGTGTGTTGTGTGTGTGTTGTGTGTGTGTGTGTTCGCCCAAAATGTGAAGATCGCATCTTTCGTCGAAATCCGCCGTGAGTGCGTATATGACACTCGCACTGCGGATGTTACGTTCGCTTCGCCCAATGACTCCCATTGTATTGAATATGGTGCTTGCGTTTGCTTCAGCAGCAATTGGATGTCAAAGCCATTTCGTGACTAGAGACGATTTTCGTAAAGAGCGTGTTCGAAAACTTTTATAAGCGAAGTTTCTTTACAATTCAAGAGCATCAACATTTTGACCAAAATCCACCGGCGAGCTTCCAGAGCGTAAGACGAGAAAAAATGAAATAACCCGAACATGTCGGAAAACTTGCTCATAGAGGTTATCCGACCTGCTGATTTCGAAACTCACATCTGCTTAGCAAGATAGCTTCGTATTCTATACTTATGGCGAGTAGAATTTGGGACGACACAATTTTTCCAGAATTCCCTTCTATTTTTTTGGAAAGGGGCCTACGGCTACTTTTATGGCGATTCATAATCTACGGAAAAAGTACTATCGAACAGTCCTTGCTGGAGTCTACTAGGGCAATGCGCGCTGCTTTACACGTTTGCGAAAAGACGTCCACAGAAAGGTTTAAGAATTGAAATTGGAATATCAAGGACATGCTGTATACAAAAGATTTGCCTTGATAAACTGAGCACAAAGCTTTCTTCGGATTTAGAAAATTTCATTCCGAAGAAAATTACGGCGAGTAGAAAAACGCATGATTTTTCCTAAACTGGCCAACGCTTCTATCTCTTTTGGAAGACAGTCTGCGGCTGAACAGTACTGTCGAATAGTGCTTACTGGAATCTTTTATGTTACACAGACGCTGCGTTACATCCTTGCGAAAGGACCTCCACAGAAAAACTCGAGAAAACTGGTAACGAAGTATCAAGGGCAGGCTGTACATCAAAAGATTTGCCTTAACGATCTGAACAAAATGCTGCTTCCAGATTTGAAATATATTTATTGCGAAGGAAGTTATGGCGTTGCGTATTCTGCGTGATTCCCGTGATTCCGCGGATTCTAGCATGTCGCGAACTTCCAGGAATATCGCGGACTTTGGAGGGAATCCCGGAATTCCGCGAGGTCCACGAAAATTTTGCACATTCTTTGAACAGTATTGTGATCTTGGGCAAATTTTAGAGCGAATTCGATCAGACTGACACTCCTCTACCACGCTCCTACAGTATACTTTCTATGCGTCATCAGCGACAAATCAATGGCAATACTGTTATCAGCACACTGAACAATCCAACCAAACAAAAATCTGCAAAATTGAACGCTATACCTATCATATCCCGTTAGATTGTGGCACTCCTATATACTAGATGATGCGTCTCGCCAAGCTGAATCGAACGGTCTCCTCGAATTCAGAATTCATCCATTCTGAAGCGAGATATGGCGATGCGACGCGGATTCCGACGAACTCTAGTGATGTGCGGCGCACTCCGCTGCTCTCCGGCAAACTGTAGTGGAGTGCGGCGCACTCTGCCGCAGTCCGCCGCACTGCAGCGCACTCTGGCGGAATACAGTGTAGTGCGGCGCACTACACGGCACTCTAACAGACTGCGTCGCACTCCGGCGGCGACTTTTTTGACGAATTATGAGCGGTACTATACCTCTTTCTGCACTTACGAGGGAAGGATACTTGGTGTCCGT